TTAAATTCATTGATTATCCTTTTGATTTTGTTCGTTGTCGTGTCTTTATGCAGCCTTTAGAGATTCACATGAGTGCTAGTCTTGAGCTCGAGAATATACCCGGCATGGGAGTGAGGAAAGTGGTCGAATCGGAACTTGTTTCTCGTGCCGTATCTGCATTTAAATGATTAAACGCAAGCTGTGAAAATGCATTTTAGTATGGAAGGTAACTTACATTGATTAATAACATTGTTTATCTTTTTCTGTTTTTTTAAGTAAATTGCTGTGAGCTTAATTACTTCCCAGTGTGATGTATCTGATTTATATATAAATAATATATTCTTGAATTGGGATATCCTAACAACCTTCATATAACAACATCACTTTCGGTAGGCAAAAAAGGACACTCAAACTATTTTTTACTAGACATTTTTAAATAAATCCCTCAACTTTTTTAATAGAAAAATACTGTCACACTTTCTCCCGATAGAGAATAGTTTTTGATTGAGTGAGTTTTTTGACGTATAATCTGCTACTATGTATTTAACTATTACAATTTAATCTAACTATCTTTAAATGTATTTACTGTAGAAGTTTACTACGGCTGCGTACCCAGCTCAAGCACTGCTTAGATCATTTTGATTCATCTGAAGTTCTAATGAAGAAGTTATCCGTTAATTATGGTCAGTCACCATTGTTCGCATCCCAAAGTTTAAGCATATTATGCTTTAACGTCTTTTCGTCAAGGCTGATATGTTTAGGGTCTTGTTAGACTTGTCTAACTAATAACGGAGAACCGTTGCAAGTGACACATGCAGTACAACATAGGGAGCCATAAAAATATTTGCTAAAATATTTATCTAACGTATTTAGTTCAATTGGCTAAGAAAATAGTTAATGTTTCCAAATAATTGATATTCTAATGTTTTTTTTTTAAGTTTGAATGAATTTTAAGTATTTGGATCTCTGGAGTTTTCTTGAATATTTTTGTAGCATTATTATTCAAATGCGGATCTATTGTAGGCCTCAAGCAACATTTAATATTATGACCATTATCAAACGTTAAGGACTCTTATGTATGATGCTTTCATGAATAATTTCTATCAACTTCTTCTTCTCTAAACCTTTTAAGTAAGTATGCATGTTGGTATATGCTGTGCTAGTGAACAGGTACTTCATCACTGTTGAGAATAGAACCTCACATTGTCATAGATTGTTGAGTGATCTGCTCCCAATGAATCTCTGATGATATTTATGTGTAATTTTGCAAAATAGCACACCTCAACTGTCATTAAGCTGTAGAGCGTGTATCAAGGGTGGAAGGCCCGAACTTTAGCTATTAATCGATTGAAATATTAGTTGCTTAAAAGTGTGAGGTTAAGTACAGGCGTTAATTTATATAATAACGTAAAGAAAAGATCAATGTATATACTCATGGTACCTCCACATTTATGCTGAACGTAAATCAAAGATTTCATACATAAAATAATATTAAATACACCCTGATTAATAAAACATAATTGGTACCTGCTCACCTATTACACGGCAACAAAAGATGAGCTGTCAATTTAAGTTGATTAATCAACACTTTTATTTAGTTCTTCTGACACCCTTGAGACATACCCTGCAACGGTCCATTGCTTTGACCATTTTGGGTTGAACATAACTTTGACCACTCTGAAACACACTCTGCGGTTGGCCGTAAATCTGACCACATTGAGACTAGTCTTGGCCCTGACCACCAGAACCTCCAAGAGAGGGGGCGGCAGAAGGAGCCTGTTCTGCAGGTTGAATACCTACGATGGTAGTATAGATAGCTTCCACCTTCGTCTCAACAACGTGAGTACCCGAGGTCTTGCCGTAGCCAGCATCATTGACGCCGCTACCGTACTCGCTGTCACTTGAGCCGTGCCCGCCGATCTTTGAAGCGGAGGCCTTGGCGCTTACAATCGGAATGGTGATCGGCATCGAGTAGGACACAGCAATCGAAGTTACGGCATTATCTGTAAAAGATTTGAGTGAGTCGGGTACATGAACTCGGGTGTCCTTTCGACGATCGAATTTTATTTAGAAAAATTCAAATCAATTATTTTTGTATTTTTCTTTTTGTATTCGTGTGTGCATAGTTTTTAGAAGGGGGTACATACCTCTCTATATTGAAAAGCTCCCCCGTCTTGCAGCACGGAAAAAAAGGCCTGTCAGCCAAACCGCTGAAAACTCTGCGAGCTGTAAGAGCATTCGTCGTCGAAGGACACCGCTGTATAACTTAAGCATGTAACTAGAACTTGTATATTTTGGTATAGGTCTATATGTACAGTGGCCACTATTCTTGTATTCTTATCTATATTTGAGAAAAAAAGACTATATTCAAATAGCATTTACGTGATCAGCTTTATTTACTACCCACCGGCTGGCGGTTGGCCATATGAACCTCCAGAGGGTGCGCTGGAGTAGCCACCCTGCTGCTGAGGTCCGTAAGAAGATGATTCCATCGGCGCGAGAGCGGAGCCACCATACTCCTTCTCTTCAGGAGCAGGAGCGGGAGTTTGATAAGAAGATTCAGCAGAAGCAAGGGGGGGTGTCGGATAAGATGGTGCAGGAGGAGCAGGCGGGGGTGCCTGGTAAGCAGGCACAAGAGGAGTTGGGGAGAATGCTTGATAAGAAGGCGGAGGAGGAGCAGGGGGGGATGGCTGGTAAGAAAGTGCAGAAGGAGTAAAAGAGGGTAGCTGGTAAGGAGCAGGAGGAGTAAGAATGGATGGCTGGTAAGAAGACACGGGAGAAGCAGAAGGGAGTGGCTGGTATGAAGGACCAGAAGAGGGTGGTTGGTACGAAGGTGCAGAAAAACGTGACTGGTAAGGAGACGCAAGGGAGTGTGACTGGAAGGAAGAAGCAGGAAGGGATGGCTGGTAAGAAGACTCAGGAGCGGGTGGCTGGTAAAAAAACGCAGAAGGGTAAGGCTGGTAAGAGGAAGCAGGAGCAGGGGTGGGTGACTGGTAAGAAGGTGCAGAAGAAGCAAGTGTGGGTGGCGGGAAAAAAGGCGTCGGAGGAACAGGGACAGGTGGCTGGTAAGAAGAAGCAGGGGAAGATGGCTGATACGAAGGCGTCGGAGGAACAGGGGCAGGTGGTTGGTAAGAAAGAGTAGAAGGAGATGCCTGGTAAGAAGGAGCAGGAGGATGTGGCTGGTAAGAAGGTACAGGAGAGGGTGGCTGATAGGAAGGAACAGGAGAGGGTGACTGGTAAGAAGGCTCAGAAGAAGGTGGCTGGTAAGAAGGCTCAGAATGAGGCGGCTGATAAGAAGACTCCGCGGGGGCTGGTTGATAAGAAGGAACGTGAGTGAGTGGTTGGTAAGAAGCCTCAGTAGGAGCAAGCTGGTAAGAAGCTTCAAGAGGGGGTGGCTGGTAGGAAGGTTCAGAAAGGAGTGGCTGGAAAGCAGGCTCAGAATGAGGTGGCTGGTAAGAAGGCGCAGAAGGGGGTGGCTGGTAGGAAGGCGCAGGGGGGGATGGCTGGTAAGAAGGCGCAGGAGGGGGTGGCGGGTAAGAAGGCGCGGAAGAGGATGGCTGGTAAGAAGGCACAGGCGAGTGTGGCTGGTAAGAAGGCGCGGAAGAGGATGGCTGGTAAGAAGGCACAGGAGAAAGTGGCTGGTAAGAAGGCGCAGGAGAAGCAGAAGGGGGTGGCTGGTAAGAAGGCGTTGGAAAAGCAGGGGCGGGTACCTGGTAAGAAGACGTAGGGAAGAGCGGCTGGTAAGAAGTCATAGGAGGAGCAGAGGTGGGTGGCTGGTGAGAAGGCGCAGGAGAAGCCGGAGCAGGTGCTTGGTACAAAGATGCGGCAGAAGATGGCTGGTAAGAAGGCGTGGGAGAAGATGGCTGGTAAAAAGGCGCAAGAGAGGGTGGCTGGTAGGAAGGTGCGGGAGGAGCAGAAGGGGGTGTGTGGTAAGAAGGCGAAGGAGGAGATGCAGGGTAACTTTCACCACCGAAAATTTGGCCACGGTAGCCACCCTGTGGCATAGACTGGCCTCTATAGCTTCCGGAAGAAGATTGGTTTTCCGAACCGCTTGGAGGCCTACATAGAAAAAAAAGTATTGTTAGGTTTTGACAAATAATTTCAGGTGTCCATTTTATTTCATTGAGTACTCTAATAAGGACCCAACATACCTGCGAGTATACGAGGGAGCACCGTAAGTCTCACTGAAGTCAGCCACGTTCTTTACTTTTATGCTAACAAGGCTCTGTCTGTAAGTGGACAACAAGCCCCATTACAATATTGTTTAGCACGAGTGACCTCGTATACTCGCGTATAGGCATCTAATGTGTTGCTTGGCTCCTATGAAGATGTACATTATAAGGTAGACATTTATATTATCAGACAGGGAGTAGATTGCATCCTTCTAACCTGGGAGAGGTCGGAGGGGCGTAAGTAGGTTCATATTCAATAGGAACGTACATTCCGTAGTTGGAATACTGTGGCAAGGCAGACTGCATGTAGCCTCCTTGTGAGCCTTGCTGAGACGAGTAAAGAGGCTGATAGCTTACGGGAGCTTCTCCTCTACTCTGGAGTTGACTGCCGTAACCACCTTGAGACTGACCTCCATGGCTAACCTGCCCACCATAGCCGCGCTGGAACTGACCGTAACCACCCATACGCTGCTGAGGCGCAGCATAAGGCTTAGAACTGGGAGGAGGACCGTAAGATGGTCCGATACCACCAAATTCCTGAAGGGCCATGGAGTTGTACCTGAAATAAAAAAAATGCATACTGTACATTGAATCAGATTGAAGGTTACTCGCAAAACAGTTTTGGAATTTCTCAGTCGCTTCGTGTTTTTTTTTCGGGCTGAGGACAGAAGGTACATAGTTCAAAATAGTTAAATACTTACCCATCGTTATCAATACGGTCGTTGACATAATTTTCCTCCCTAGAGTCTATCCACCTCTGGATTAAGCTGTAAGAACGGTAGTTGTAGCTGATAATGTAGACGTTTTCATTAAGGGGAAGCTTCTCAAGACGCTCACCGCCAAAGGCATCCTTCTTGATAACAGCGTAAAACTGACGGCCATCTGAAACTCATATTTGACATGATTTAAGGTGACTTTTTCACGTTCTATCGAAAAAATCTAACGCCATGGAAAAATGCATTATCATCTATATGAGAGCTAGATAAGTCAAATGGTAATACAACTGCATCGTAGCTTCTATAGAGGCTATTGCTGTACAACAAGTTAACTCAGTATTCTACGTGTGCTTTTTTTTACAGACAGAGGTAATGAAAAGTCAACTGAATGGATACCCTGCTGACAACTAACCAACGAGTTAATAAATATTAAGTATCACTTACAAGCAGACATAGCATCGCAACGGCATTTCTCAGGAAGAGTGAAGGGAAGCTCAGGCTCAACTTTCTCGTTATCTCCTTTGAAGATAGAAATAAGATGAACAGCGCCGCACTTGGCGTCTTCGCTTTTTTTAGATGGCTTAAGGTGACGGTTGGTTTGCATCTGTAGATTAATAACGAGTGCGTGTATACGTAATTGCTTTTGTTATTATTCTTATTATTATATATGTACTGCTCACCTTAAATGTACATTTATAATAAATTATACGTATATATTTTAGACGTCAACACCCTAATTTATTAAGCTTAAAACTTCAAAAGCCACAAAACACGTGTCCATGCATTATCGCTTATTGGAACATTTTTAAAATAATGGTGACATTGATAATTACGTTGGTAACATAAAATAATTATTTTTATTGCATGAATTAATTGTGCTCAGAGAGGCTATTCCTCATAATAGAAATTGAATTCCGAAACAAACATACAGATGTGCTGTTAGTTTATTGAGAATGATTCCAACAAAAAAAATCTGTCTGTGTTGCTCTACTAGGATTTATTATCTAAAAATCCTATTCGATCTTTAGCTATTGACACAAATACCTAAAGATTGTTTGTTTAGGCTTGATAACTCTCCCTACGTCTAACTTTTGATATCATAAACCATGACCGAGTTTCCAACATGCCATCTTTGAATCCTTTCACTAATTATGAAAAAATGCGTGTCAATTAAACAAACTTTTTTTAATTATATAAAGTGCATCTAGCTTACATATTTTGAAAGTATACCTTAACGACATAGGTGCCTATGCTCTGAACGGCCTCCTGGATCTTGGGGGTGATCTCGTCACATACGGGGCAGCTCTCCTCAAGCTCATCGCATTCAGCTTTTTGCTCATCATCGTCATCTTCACTCACGGAACGCTCTTCAGCCTGCTCTTGTTGACAGTAGGGAATAACGTACTGGCCTTCAGGAATTATGAGTATCTTTTCGTTTTCGGAAAGTATCCCTTCCTCAGAGAGTTTGCGCTCAGACTGTAAAAGAGCAAAACCGGTATGGTGACGAAGGTAGTCACATTCACAGTCTTGGCCGAGCTGGAAGCTTTGATTGCGGTTGTCATCGAAGTCGGGAGTGAAAGCATTGAGGATGCGGAACTTGCCGCCAATACAGGAATTTTTTTCACGGGCAACTATCTTGATGTGAAGCTGCTGAGAGTCCGCCTTTGCGTTATCCTTTGCCACTAGCGCGAAAACAGCATCCACAGAAATTAAACGAAGTAAATGAGACTGTGTTAAGGTAATGGTACCCAATCGCAGAGTATAATAATTTAGCTGTTGATAAAAATAAACAGTATTGTATTTTATCTACGAGGTTTGTGATATGGATTGTTCCATTTTCGACCAACTATTTGTTGACGGTCTAATATTATTGTTAGAACCAACAATTTAAAATAGTAATTTCTGTTTTTAACCCTCTAAACTAACCATAAATAGAAATCTTGGGCATATTCCAAGGAGCAGCCTGCTCAGCGGGGGTAACATCGTCCATGATGCGTTTAACGAGCACAGCTTGCTGAGACTGGCAAATACCTTCGAGCTGGTCTGTGGAACTAATGATATCGCACTTGGGGCAGGTGATAGTCCTTTCAGAGCACTCTTTCTCTGTCTCATCGTTTATGAAGGCTGAAGGAAGCTTCTCCTGATCAATGCCGGAGGCATCGAAATCTTCATCGCAAGAGGGAATAATCCATTCGCCTTGGGACAAGGGAGCCACGGTGACCTGATTATCAAGGGAAGCCTGCAAGAGCTCATCGAGGTGATGAATCTTGTGGTCCTTGAAGACAATAACAGCGTATCCAGCACCACGGATAAGCTCCGGGCAGCGGCATTCCATATTAATATACAGGCCAGTAACTGAAGGAGTGTTGATGGCTTGAGCTTTCTGGCCACGCGTTATGTCATAGACAGGTTTCACGAAGTAGTTCCTACATTCGCCGTTCTTAGGCTCCCAATGACGCTCATCGATGGGATATGTCTGAACAGCATAGCGGTTGCCATCGGCTCCAAGAATATCCTGCCAACGGCGAGGAGACATCCATGATTGGCCGTCCTGTGCAACGCCAGTGGCAACAACGAAGGAAGATTTGGCACCGCAGACGAGCTGCTTTAATTCCTCAGTGCTAACACCGCACTTCGGGCAATCGCCAGTGGTGGGGCAAACGCTGCAAAAATCGCAATGCACTGTAGCGGAACCAAAGTATTTCACATCGTAACTGCAGGCTTAGACTAGCTCGCCCGACGTGAAGAATACCCGATTCAGATTTTCGTGCTACCGTGCCTCGAGATACTGTAATTAACGTTGGAAGGGGACTTGAGACAGATTTGCAAAAACACAGATAGGTTCTTCTGTATACTACGAGTACTTCTTCCTTGCAAAGAGTATAAGGGACAATTGCGGTGAATAACAACGAAACGATTACTGGAGTCGTAGAGCAAGTTGCAGTAAAGATAAGAAGTCAAGCATGTATTTTAAAATCTAAACCTGTGGAACCTGTATTCTACTATTAAGACATTGTATAAGCAAGCAGCTGAACAATGCCTGCAAGCGAGAACGGAGACAGAGCTTGAACCTTAACCGTAACCAATCATCCTCGTTTATCGTGGTTGTAGGTTAATCCAGGTGAAGGACACTATTGTAGTCAAAAGCAGAGAACATTAGAAATGCATGAAAAACTTTAGATATGACCACTAGTCGTCGTGGCCGTGGCGCACAGTACTTGGATGTGTGCGTCGTCTATTGCACGGCACTCACCCGCCGAGGGGGGCGGCGATAGCCACAGAGGCGCATAGGGCCAAGAAGACGGTACGGATTGGCAGCATCACGGACGTCCGGTAACCCAAATGCCTAACGTTTCCTGTGTTCTCACGCCTTTTATATGAAAGCAGGCCGAAATCGCTGACGTTTTATAAAGGTGGGCATACCAGCCGTTCACGTAGACAAAAATGTTTCGGCTGTAATAACGTAGCGGTTGCAAACCTGGATGAAGAGCGGCAAGTGGAAGCGTACATTCGCACAGACCAGTGGTCGCGGAGTTGATTATGGAACCCTACGGCACATTACCATATATAGCAACATACATTTGTGTCTATTAAGTATCTGCGGTATGGTGATTTCGCTTTTACGTTATAATACGTTTTAAGTCTCTATTTTCTCCTGAATACGATTTTAGCTACGTGGTGAATGTGATCCACATCCGCATAATGTATCTACGTGTTTTTAAATCCACATATATAAATGCCTCTGCTTATTGACCAATTTAATTTTGTATCAGCGAGTCAACACTGATGCAAACAGTAATGATGCTACTGCTTTGAGTCGTATCGAGTTGAGTTCTATAAAATAGAGAAATCATATTTTTCGTATAAAACGAAACACTATTCATCATCCGCATCATTCGCGACACACAGATTCATATAAACAAAACGTGGGAATAAGACCGAAAAATGGTATAAGATAAACATTCTATTGTTCTGAGACGACTGAAAAGCGAATAAGCCGAATAGCGTGTGGGCTGCGATAGACTCGGTATTTATCAGACCACTCATCTTGGTTTCTCTTATTGAGTGGTTACCCATGTAAGCAAAAGAAGCTGCTACTAGATGCTACACAAAAACTAGCTCGGTTAACCGTTTCCAGGTATCGTTAGGTCACGATTCAACTTTTAGTATAAAAATTAAAAATAACTGGGGTGTCGTCTTTGGTGTAAAAGAAGGAGATTTGCAGCTAGAAATGAGCGTACGGTTAATTTTCTAATCAAATATGTTGATACTTGTGGTTAAGACAACTAGTTCGTCGATGCTTTTTGTCCTCATAGTAGCATTAGCTTTTTACACTCAATTCTCTTTTCGTCGCATATGGCTAAGCTTGCCCATATGCGACTACGGTTAAGCGACATATTATCTCCATAGGTGCGCATATTTGCAATATATGGAGCTGACACTCCCGTTCTTTCTAAATATTGTCTTAAAGAGTTTTCCACTATCGTGAAGATCGTCCTATTGCCTCAGACTGCAGATCTATAGCTCCACTGTCCTTATCAGGTCCCTTCCTGAAATCTGATGGCTAATTTTTTCTCTCATAAGTGTGTTTTTCTTACTCAGCGTGTGAGAACTTCCTGTGGGAGATGCAGAAAGCGCATGATACTGTTTTACAGTAATGATAGAACTACTATCTACGTATCATATTGTAGACAAGCTTTGCATCCAGAATAAGTTCTCTTTAGCTCTTAGTTCCGTTTATAGGAAATGCAAAAAGATTCATATAAAAAATTAACGTTACAAAATCTCACCACTAAACTACAATCAAATTCCCGTAAAGCAGGTACACCCATATTAATGAGCGGCAATGGATTGTTTCAATGAGGCTTTCCTGCCAATATCACCAAACGAAATAAAATACATTCGTTGCCCGAGTAGAGAAAGAGCCAATTTTGTTGTTATTATTGTTAGTATTATCATCATCATCATTGCCGTTTGTATTGTTGCGTGTATGTGAGAATGATGATGTATCGTTAAATCTGCGTATATTCCCACCATACGAATGTCAATGTTAGACTGTCAATGCCATGACAACAAGGTTGATTCGGTAATTTTTCAATGATTCCGAAAATAGGACAGGATATAACAGGCCGAAACAATACAATTTGTTGTCGAGCTTATCCGCCAATCAGCTGGAAATCAAACATTCTTTGAGTAACAGTCCCTTTGAACTTTATCAAAGTAAAATATATATATATTTATGGAAGGAAGGCTGGAGAGGACAATTAATTTCAATATGATGCGCTTAATTTTTAGAGTTTTAAGCAAAAAAGTAGCTATTTTTTTCCCGTACAGTGAACAATCTCCCAACTATTTTAGATAGCCGGTGTTTGGGCATTATCATGCTGCCAAACGGGTTTAGCTACGGCTGGATCTGATTGATTCTTTTATTATTAATTACAGCAGGGATACCGTTGGTTAGAACGTCAATCAGTAATTACGTTAGGTAATATTAATTTATTAAAGTGTTGAATATCGAAAGCCTTGTATACCTCTATGCATTAAAGAGAAATTGTACTGTTTTTTTTGAAATTTAGTATTTTCTGTGAAGTATATTAATGTACGAGCATTTTTCCAAATGTGGATCGTAGCAGAAAAATGAATAGTTTAGTACGACATGTTTGTCATGAAATAACGAAAGCGCAGCTCTTCTAGGTAGACAGCCATACTGAAGCTTCCGCGAGAATGACATTCCAACGAAAGGTAAGCGTCTTAAATAACCCGAATATAATAATAAAATAAATAGAATAATATAATAAAGCGAAAAAATGCAAGGCATAATTTTTGGAAGGAATAAGTAAGGTGACATCTGCTCAGGCTCATGTGCGAGTGCTTTATTTTTCTAGGCTATAAGTGGCTAACCTTCAAAGGTAATCTGGCTAGGTACCTGCGGATCCGCACTCGTTCTGTCGGGCTGATAAAAAGCAATAATGTAACTAACGGCGATGAAAGTGTAACAATATGCTTAAAGCGCCTGAATTAATTTTAGTAGGAAGCTCAGCTTGACAGTTCTCTATTCATATTCAAATCTAGATTAAAAGTAATGCCAGCCGGTATCGTCATCAAGTTTTACAATAGTGCTTAGATTTAAGGCGTCAGTGTACATATCAGGCGGTCTGGCTGTATTCAGACCTGCCTTTCGACATTACATATGATCCTAGGTACGCTGTGTCAGCGCGATATTAAGAAAGACGCAAGAAATATCGCATCGCAGCTATGTTAGTCAGTACTGATAGCGAGTTAGCGTTTCTACTCGGTAAGAGCTTACACGGTTACAAAGTGTAGAAATGCCTATTTGTACAGTGGCGTCTAAGGCAAAAGCATGCGCTTCAGGCTCATTGTCTACTACATGTTTGTGAAACTGTAGCTTTCAAAATATATTTCTTCAAGCCAACGTATAGCAATCCGAATTCTCACGTAGCAAACCAGAGAACAACATTGACGAGTTTTAGTATGTCTTCAAAAGTGCTTTCAACCTATCTTGGCTTAAACGGAAATTCTGTCACTAAAAATGCAGCCTAACAAGGTAGCACGCGTACGTCTACCACCACAAAGACTGCCTTTGAATCTATATTAACGAATCTGTACGTATTCGTGAAACAGTGATGTAGTCGAACTCAATTTCTGTGTATAAGATGCTTGCTTTTAAAATATAATCGAAACTCCTGTCGGTTCCAGTTTACTTTGAGCTCGTTTAACACTAAAATGTTAAATTAAAATGTGTCGCAGGCTTTTGTTCTATAGGTAGGGTTTATGTGATAGCAGAAGGAGAGTTGTTACCTTTGACAAAGCTGAACCTGCGTCATGGATATATACCGAAGCTTGTACTCGACTGTCAAGCCTTGTATCTAGCCTAACCCGTTCACTACTGATAGGTCGTCGAGAAATACAGGGTATGGGGCTCTAGGTTAAAGGTGAAAACAATATGGACTACTGCTGCTGCTGTTATTGGCTAACGACTATTTCCGATAAAGTGAGAAAACCTCTACAACGTTCTAATGGATCGAGTGTCATACGGCCCATAGAGACATGGCTATCACACACAGAGTAAGCAGCGTCAGATCGTACCGTTTTAACTACTGTGGTAAACTATCATAATATAACAAATCTAATAGGATGGTCGATAACGTAAGACGCTAAAACAAAACTGTTCAGCGACAACTTACCATTACATCAGGATAGTCAAGCTAGTGCTCGTTTGAAAACCGGACAACAGGTGCAATAAGCCTTGACCTAACGGATGAGTGGCCAACACTATTTCGGCATGTTCATCATTGCTGTTATGATGATTATACTCAACAGCTCGACATGGCATATAGTGCTAAGCAATAAATGCGTGTGCATACACTTATAAACTATACAATGTACTGATACTGAACATCGTAGGCTTACTCAGTTTGCTGTTTCCTTATTACGTACGCTTTTGTTTTCTGCTTCCACTTTAAACGTTAGACAGTTCCATCTAGAGCCTTTTTTTATGAAAAATACAAACCAGGTGAGCTGATTTACTATTAATAGGTACCAAGGAACATTCTTGTCGATACACTTTCTGCCTTCAGTAGTAAGGCGACCAGATGTGATCCGTCCGATGCCAGAACCGCTTATCGTTTTGCCCTCGCCTTGATTTGCCCTTTCTTCCATGAAACAACCTCTATTTCCATGCTCTTGGGATTCAACGATGGATACATTAAGCTGTTAACATTCTGACAACATACGTACACATGTCCAATGTCGCATTTACAAGATATTATTCTGTCAGTAGCCGCATGCTTCGGCTGGTGACTTTGTCAACTCCGTTTGATTTGTGTTGCGTCTGCGATCGTTGTCTCTGTTCGCCTCGAGCTTGAAGCGCTCACTCGACGTCGGACGAGGTCAGTCGGACGGCATGTAAAATACTATATGTGTAGTCACATTTGCATGTATCATGCAAAAAGCGTTTTCAGCAAAGTGACCTACTTCAATGATTGTCTGTGGATGAGTTCTTGTGCATGAAACGACCGCTTCTGTTCTCAACCTGCAAAGTAACTTTAGGCACTTCGCGAATATGTGTTCATCTAGCATTGGGTAGACCTAATGCCACCGACCAGAAGTCCATTATACCATTTCTTTCTTAGAATCGTACATATACACTAGAGTTGTCCTGCGCGGAATAATTTTTTTCTAAACACTGTTGAGAGAGTGCTCGCACAGCAGACGTTTCTAGAACAGTAGCTACCGAAAAGGAACACGCCAGCATGCATACGTATAGAAACACTCGGCTCGAGAAAAGTTTAACTAGAGTTTATTTTCTACACAGATTATTTACAATAAAGTAGTAGTAATTATATACAGTTGCAGAAGCCATTTATGGAACGATAGAGCTTTTAAACAAAATCCATAATTTTAGCAATCGTTTTAATTAAACCTGAGTCTCAGTAAAGGAGCTATTTGAACCGGTCCGTTTTGGGGTAGCGTACTGAAAACAAACAAATAGTCTATTCATTGTGAAACGACCAACAATAACAAATGACGTCATCGTAATCTACCAGCTGATGGGACCAATTTTTTCCGCACGACAATCTAAATTTTCGATGATTTTAGGTACCATCTAATTATTATTCGAACGCGACAATGTAATTAAGCGTACAAAAAGCATAGAATCGATGCAAGTATATATATATATATATATATATATGCCTCTCCCACATAACAATCATATCATGGGTCATATCATAACCTCAATGTTAGCAGTGATCGAGTTTAACTATCCCATTTAGTGCCCAGCCGATATTGGACTACTTCAAAGGTTTATTTTTTCTATTTTTTTAAAGTCACTTTGTTCTTCAAATGCTGAAGTCCCATTTCTCAGGTATACGTACCTTAAGGACACTTTTAGGTGCCTCGCTTGATGATGTGCGAGACAGCGAGCCGGCTCTACATTCTCGATCAGGTGTAACGTCCAACCTTGACATCGACGACTTCATTCCCATAATACGCTCTTTGAGAGTTTTCTTACGTACGATTTTGTGGCCAGGTAAACTTTCGGAATCCGACACCTGATTCAAATCGTTGTCTGAATCAAAGCTCTACAATCGAAACATAAAGCTTCGTTAAATTTCATTAGTCATACACATTAGTTTTGAAATCAGCTGTCCTATGGCCTCTATTTTCCTATTATTTTTTTGAAAATTAGGGCTACTAACTTCAATTACCTTTCTATACGCCTTGAAACAGATATATTTGTTGCTGTTAGCCCTTTATATAGATATCTATATACTGAATGTTATTATTAGATTTTAGCGAGCTTACCACCCCAGGTTTGCCATAATGGTGAGCCGGTGCTGACACAATAGAGGCATCGCTATCGTAGCCAGTGGCATGTCGCTGTAAAGAAGTTTGCGACCCAGCTGGAGAAATACCTGATGCGAGGCTGTCGCCCGAACCCGCCCAAAGCTTCTGATCAGAACCAAAGCCCTGTCCAAGTGACATTGCTTTCTTCGATTTGGTGCGTGGAGGTGCCCTGATGAATGGTAATGCCTGACTGACGTCTGACGCGCTCACAGCACGTTTGAATGATTGGTTCCGAGCAATCTGTGCCGCTGGCGAGGTCAGTTTCGTAATGGATTCCATTCGACCAACAAGCTTTTGTAGCTCAGCCCGAATTTGCTCGCGATTATTTGGTCGCAATGGCCGCGATTTCGCTGAATCCCCGTCGGCTTGAATCATTTCGACTAGCCGAGCGAAGTCTTGAGCCATGTGACTTGTCTCTGAGTGTACCTCATTCATGCATAGGGTCTTCGCTCTATATTCGTCGCGCTCATTCGTGAGCCGCTCGCGTTCTTTCCTCGAACGCTCATAGTGGTGTCGCAGACGACGCATGTTCTCTTTGGCTTCGTCCAATTCAGCTTGTAACTGCATGAAATAGAATTTACACCATTAGACATATACCGAAAAATTCTTCCAGACCCACACGCTCAGACGCACACTTCGCATGCGTTGCTAGGCTAAGTGCATTTCTGGATCTTCAACATGGACCAACAACACATTACATATTAATAAGCGTACAAATCTCCACCGAGTTTATTCGAGAGTATCCAAATGGTTGACATAGCTATGAGAAGGTTAAAGAATTGGATGCAGTCAAAGTTTCGATTCCTGATTCAAATTATTCGGATTTGTAGAAGTCGGATTTTCTCCAGTTATGCGATCTTATTTAATTAGGCAAGTCTAGTTATCGAGGAGACGAGCGTAGACAGAGATTAGGATACTTACGTCAAGAAGCTCTTTCGTAATCTGGTCTTCGCTAAGCTCGCTCATCTGCTTCTGCATTTGTTTATTGAGAAGCTCACGGTGCTGCTCACGCTCATGTTCAGCGCGCAGAAGACGTTCTTTGAGGTCGCGCAAGATCCTCTGGGCATCATGAAGGACCTTTTGCTGATCTTGTCGTTCCTTCTCCCAGGCCAACTCGAGCCGTGTTTTCGCATACAGTTTGTTACTGCCGCGAGATGTTTCCAACAGCTTGGCCTCCTCATACTGATATATTAATATTAACGAGGAGAAAAATGAATAAGCTTTTGTTTAGTATGTGAGTAAAGTATGCCTCTTCATTTTATTCCATTGCAGCACTGGAGTAATAAATGTATCCCTTTATATTTATGTTATTTTCAAAAAGTTATCTCTTAGACATCTGTGGCAATGCAAGAAGGCTTCTTCCAAACGTACATGTAGAAACGTAACGGACGTAAACATGTAGAAAAACATGGACGAAATCAAGGTTTGTCTTTCAAAAAAAGTGGAACACTAGAAGCTACTAAACTTGTACAAGAGAGCCAAGAGGGCATTCTCTGGTCCCAAGATCTTCTTTTTTTGATGAACGCCTTAAGCTTCTATGAACGGCACAACTCGACGTCTCATGTCAGTTATCGTTTACAAAAACCTTAGAGAGGGATGACATGCTGTAGAAATTAGACAGGCATTCCCTAAGGCCACTGAAGCGAACAATTTTATAGATGCTTGTTGCGAAAGAGTAAAGCAGCCGACCATCTTTGATTTATCACGAAATGATGTTCAAAGATCCATCAGATGCAATAATCAATAGTACAAATGGTTGTTTGCTCGACTCCTTGAATTGATACTGTCGAAGGGGCAGCTCAAGTGTGCTTTAGCAAGATGGCGCTTCGAAATAGTCCAGGGATGGCTGAGTATGTGTCATGTGCGCCAGAACAAGAACTCATGGGAATCCAATCTAACACTCACATTAACAGTGGAATAAACTATACCGGCCATATAAACTTTGATTCACGTACTATACCACTCTTTACTAAAAAAAAAGGGATATCTTAAAACTGATTTATAGCCCGAAGCCTTGTGAAGATCGGAATAAAACGTCCGTAGGGGATATTTGTATCGGTACATGGACATAACTTGATTCAGATTGTTGGTTCCATGTAGATACTTTCATCCAATCTGATCAATTACCCTGTAAGCTCCGTCTATTTCGATTTTTACCTGGTTAAGTTTAGACTTTAAAGTTGCCACTTGAATTTCGAAGGATGATTTGTCTGCATCTATTTGAATTCTCATTTTCCTGTTCTCTGAAAGTGCATAATCTAGTTGGTTTTTGATTTCCTGAGCTTGAAAACGAAGTTCCTCCATCTTCTTGAACGCATGTTCTGCGGCCTCTCGGCTCTTTATGCGTTCATCGCGCACAGCGTTGCCTTTTAGCCGATTTAGTTCCTAAATACCAGAAAACACGGGCAAAGCAAAATGTAAACAACAACTATATTAACAACTACTTATCGAATCATAATCATAACATTGTTGTGCTAATTTTCTTTTCTTTACTGTGAGAAATACTGTAATTTGAATAATAGTGCTTGAGGAACAGGCCGATAGTAAATAATTGCCTGTTAAGTAAGGAAAGATTATGGGGTAATTAGGTTAGCAATTATATCCGCGCGACATGTCATTAAAGCAGCTCAAATTCTGGCACAGGAAAATTTATAGATGTTCACTCTTTTCGGTTACTCTTTCTTTTAGCAGATTCAAAATACGTTCTTCACGGTATGTAGTCTTCATGCTGTCAACATGCTGGCGTATGTGTATCGAACACCCAAGCCACCTTCATACTTTACAAATAACTAGATTTCGTTAAGGAATGTCACCAGAGGATAAAACGAATGATAAGGCAATGTTCTGACAAAGTGATAACTGCGACAGAATATATCAGCCGAAGTCCACTATTTTTTAATGAGACCTAAGTTATGTGCGAAAAATGGAAGACTACCCCTTAGTTGCACGTTAATTCTGCCAAAAGTGAAAATTATCTTGAATTTCCCTATTTTTCACGCTTTTGGCCATTGTGATCATTTAGGTAGTAGTAGCATGTTCGCCTTCTCACCGAACGGGCACAAATGTGATTTCAGTCCAAATTTCGTTATTGACGCATGTTTCTACTATAATGAAACAGTAGAAAAGACGATAAGTATAGCAACCCCTTGCTGTCTCTAGGCACTCCCTGATTCAAACAGGTCTTATTACCCAAACAATACGCGATGATTTTAAAGCCAAGATTAGGAGGCCCAACTGAGGACCAGCTATTCAGCATATAGATCGCTCGGTTCCGATTTGAGATTTACAGGCTAATTTTTTTGGAGTAAGACTCAAGCCGCCGCAGACGCTTAGAAAAGAACTTCTCATGACGTTTTTGGACCTCGTCCTTTGTTTGGATTTTTTTTTGAAAAAATTTTTTTGTGTCTCTTGCCAGTGTTGTACATAAAAAAGGCCAATAGTCTATGCCACTTCATCTCTTGTTATAAGTAAACCATAATGAGCCAGAAGCTTTCAATTAGATTTTCCATTTTATTTTGAATAAAATTGTGCACCTGCAGCTTTTCAGTGGACAACCATAACTTCACCGAAGGTGTGTAGCCAGGCCGCTTCCTTGACACAGGAGGCTTCAAGGACACGGCTCAGCACGCACTGCAAGTATGTAGGGTGTTTGCCCACGTAAAAGGCAATACACGATACCACACGGGATGCTTTTTCACCTCAATAGGATGAAGGGCTTTGTTACCTTCTTTCGTTACCCATTCGCACGTCACGTCGCGCAAGGGAGACCTTCTAGCCCGGGCGACATAAGGGAAAAATAATAACTTCTTGGATTGCAGCTAGCCAACACGCAGGATAGGCTGCGGAGACAAGCGGGTAGTTACTTATGCTATCTGTAGTATGGTTAAATGAAGAGTCTGGGTGGGAGTCGTGAAAAAAAATAAAAAAAGACCTCTCGCCTGTTACCCAAAAACTTTTTATCGGAAAGCGAGCCCAATAAAACTGAAAAACTAGCACGTATCTATTTGCGGCCCAGATGGCAGAATTATTTTATCTGTCAGAATGACCAATACCTTCTTGGCTTCTTCAAGCTGTTCTCTTAGGTTATCCCGCTCTTTCGCCAGGGAGATGATTTGGCCTTGCATAGAGTCAAGTTCGCCTGCGATAATGTCGAGTTTGCCTTCGTACTCGCTGCGAAGCGCTGCCACTTCGGCCTTGTGTGCATGTCCTGAATGCTGCAATTTGGCCCTAAGTTCGCTACTTTCCTGTGTGTTACCTGCCTGCAATGTGCGTAAACTTCGTTCGGTGCGTTCCATCTCTCCCAATTTCATCTGTAATTCATCGTTCTAAATCAGAAAACACATGTAGTTAAATCACATGACGGTTTTTCATTTGAAGACATTTATTACACATAATCTGTGTATGTGCACAGGGCTATTGCAGGGTATTATTGATACTGAGAACTGTCCATAGAGATTAAGTAAAGAAATTAAGAAAAAATTCACAAAATTTCACGTATATATCCAGAACAATCGATAAAAGTGCTATAATTACGATTGGGGACTCACGCGTGTCTTTAGACGCTCCTTCTCTTCCTTGTGAGCTCGCTCGCTACGTTTATAGTCATCAATCTGTGCCTCGCACTCCTTTAAAGTTTGCCGCAACCTCTGTTTTTCAACCTCGCTTTCTTGTAGTCGTTTCACCTTACCTTCGACTTCATGTATGTAGTTTTGAAACTCGAGTTTTTCGTTGGTGTACGCCTCATGCCGACTTTGGATACTTTCGCGCAACGTCGACAGCTCCATATTGACGCGCTCGTAATCGTGGCGGCTTTGTTTGGCAATACTTTCAGCACGATCCT